CCTAAAAGGCCCATGCATGCTTATGGACGTGAATAGTAATTATGAAGATCCATTTGGAAGGTCCAAGAATATTCAAGAAGCATCAAGAAGACGTCTTTATGTATTAGTTATGGTTAATTTCGTTTTTTTAAGTTTCCATTTTTATTTGCATTAAATAAGGCCTTTTGGTCAAAGATTGCATAAGAATATTTTAGGTTAGTTTCCTATTTTTAGGTAGAAGCCTTTTTCTTCAAGAAAAGGTAATTTCCTATTTCCTTTAGCCTTAATTGGTGCCAACCAAGATAGTCAATCATCATTAAGGCACATTTATGGCATTTATGACCTAGGTTTTTTTTATTCTAGATTGTTCTTTTGCTGCCTATGTAAGGCTACGTTTTTTGTAATTGGGGATCAGATTTGAATGAATGAATTTTAGAGAATTTTTATTTCTCTTGAGTGAGCTTTGCTTGCCGCCTCGTATTCTCGTGGGAATACTCGACTGTATCAAGGACTGATCATCCTTGTGGTGTCTCCATGGCTAGGGTTGTAAGAGACAGGTTCTCTTAAGGTCCTACCTTTGATCGTTCGTCTAGTTTCCTAACTTGTTTCTAGCCGATCCGTATCCGTACCTTGTATCAAGTGGGCTTAAGGGCCGGAGCTTAGCAAATTGGGTATTTTTAAAATTTTGGTCTTATAGGGCCCACTCTTTTAAACCTGTCAGCCCTGAAGGGTTGGGTCGGCCGGTATTCTCACCTCTAAATTATTACTACACCTTTTATTTGTAATTATAAACATATTTAAAATACTCTTCTGATCCTTAATATATGACTCAATTCTTGAGTTGGTTTTGGTTTTAAATGTAAAACCCATTTATCATATTTATCAATTTTCTCTAAATTATCCTTATAAATACTCCCTCAACCATAATCAAGTAAAAGAGGGAGGAGAGGTATTAAGAAAGATGATTATAGTATTTTCAGAAAAATGTGTCACTTTTTTTATAATTAACTAACTTACTTAACTTCCTTAGTCTAATCAAATTAGTTAAGTGAGTTTTATATTAAAAACCGGATAAGTATATATATCCATTAACTGAAGGACAAAAGGAAAAAATGAGAAGAAAAGTTGACTGCGAGTCAACCACACGATGGCGATCGAACTTGAATGACACGTCGAAGACTTGGTGATCAAAAGTCTCGTGAATTGATTGACTTCATTATTTTTATGTTTTTGGCCATTTTTTTAAAGAGTAATTTGACCCATTCATCTACAACTTTGCTCAATGAATTTTTAATCTGAATTTAAGTGTAACATACACATGAACATTTGTGGACGTGTAAATTATTAAAAAAAATACTGTGAATGTGGATCTTCACTTGAGTTTTCCCGGCTTATAAAAAAAATTCATAAAATACGTTCGTGATCATATAAAGTACCCCTAAATTTTAAAGGATCTCACGGAAAAATGCCAGGGTAGTTTTGTGAATTCTCATCTGTGCTTATCATTTAGGCGGCGGCGGTCAAGCACAACTTCGACCACACCTCTTCCGAATTCAGATTTTATTTACCCAAGGAACACGCATCAATCATTTTACAAGGTTCATAAAGCCAAATCATATTCATTGATGTGACAATTTGTAATTAACAATACAACCAATTCAAAACGAGTGATGTTCATTAAATATTACTCCTCCGGTTCTTATTATAAGACCTAATTTGACTTTTTATTTGGTCCTAATTATAAAACCCAATCTATTTTGTCTCTTATATTTATGTATTTTTTTCCAAGATAATCCTTCTAATAATGATAGTTTTAGCCAATATATTTAATTAGCAAGGATATTTTAGGAATGACAACACTTATTTATTATAAATAACCAACTTAACTTACTTCTTTAATCTCCTCAAATAAGTCAATTGGGTCTTATAATTAGGACCGGAAGAGTACCACTATTTATCCGTCCTTAATTTAGAAAGGTGAAAGGTTTATAGATTTTGAGTTAAATGCCTAAGATATGCTTTTGAAAATAGGCTAAAATGTAAATCATAACTTTCCTGGCATATTAGTGTTTGAAATTGACCTTCTTAACCTTTTGTATTTTTGGATATAGAGTCACTACTATTAGTTTTTTTTTTTCCTGTAAACTTACTAACTGAGAATGCCACATAAGATTAGTGTGAGAATGACATGGCATTTCATGTAAAATAAAAAAAATTAATAATTATATACCTAATGATCAAAATGTAATTTTATCTTTGTTAAAAGAAATTTTGATTTTAGCTACAGAGAGGTGCAGCGATTTTTTTTATTTTAGAAAAAGGCAAAATGATATTAAAGATGAGAAAAAATATAAGGTTAAAATATTGCGGTAGTAGAAGGACAAAAACAGAAATTAAATAGGGAGAAAAATAAAAAAACTAAACATAAGTAAGGACACAAAATAAAAAGAAATATCATGCAGTAAGGGTGCAGTGATTTAGTGGAAGACGGAGTAATTGAAGCTTAAGAATCGAAGTTTGTGATTTCTTCCTCTAATGCCCTGAAAATTCCAAGCACCACCTCCGATCCTAAATATAATTGCTAGTTAATTAATTTGAATAGATTAAAAAAATAGGTTAAGTTAGTTATTTGTTATAAATAGGTGTTGTCTTTACTAAAATATCTTTACTAATCAAATTTATTGGCTAGAACTACTATTATTAAAAGGATTATCTTGAAAAAAATAAATAAATATGAAAGACAAAATATATTGAGATTTTATATTTAAAACCAAAATAAAAGGCAAACAAAATATTATATTACTACCTCCGGTCCTAATTATAAGACCCAGTTGACTTATTTGAGGAGATTAAGGAAGTAAGTTAAGTTAGTTATTTGTAATAAATAAATGTTGTCATTCCTAAAATATCCTTGCTAATTAAGTGTATTAGCTAGAATTATCATTATTAGAAGGACTATCTTGGAAAAAAATGTATAAATATGAGAGACAAAATGGATTGGGGTCTTATAATTAGAACCAAACAAAAAGTCAAACGGAGTCTTATATTAAGGACCGGAGGTAGTACTTTGCAATCTTCTTGTTGCATTAGCCATCAATTTCATTGCTAGGCTTGCAGATTTCTTAGAGCATCTTCTCTTTATAGAAGATAAAACCAAACACAATAACAAAAATCACTACTTAAATCCCAAAGACGTCAAATTTAATTTCTATCCACTCAGACTTCTTATTGAAGCTAGAATATGGCTAGTGAAATTTTGTTTTGCCATTACTTTTTCCAGCATCGTCTAAGACAACCTCTCACATCCCAGATTTTGAATTCTTCGCATTAGGGGTATAAATTACAAGCACGTGCTCTTGGATTTCAAACACTTCGTCTTTCCCATAATTGTGAAGCTCTTTTTGGGGCTCAAACTAAAAAGAAAAAAGTGATAAAATTACATTTTGAACGGTCATTCAAGGTGGGCAAAATTATAAGCCACATGTGATGCTACATAATCTTTAATAATATGATGTGGCATCTCAGTTAGTAAGTTAATGAAAAACTAATTAAGGTAAAAAATAATAAAAATTTAAAGAGGGTAATTTTAAATTTTAATATATCAGGAGAGTTGTGTGCAACCAACTCAAAGTTTAGAAGAGTTTTTTTATTTTATTTTAGCCTTAAAAATATAAAATAAAATCTTTAGGTTAAGAAATAAATAGTGTCAATAATAAAAGTTAGTGACATGATAAGTGATGCTTTTATAAAAACATTCATTTTTTGGCCAAAAAATAAAATATAAAAACATTCATTCCGTGTAATGAAGTTAAAAATAATACCATAAATATGTGTAAGTACTCCCTCCCTCTTACATGTAAGAGAACTATTTTATGAATAGCATTTTCCTATACATAAGCTACCCTAATTATTTAGCTACATTTTTTGATATCATTTTCTATTTTTGTTTTTGTTACTTAGTGTTTCGTGTCGCTACATGCTTTTATAATAGGGAATATCCCAAAAAAAGCCCTTGAAATATACCAAATCCCAGATTGGGTTCTTAAATTTCGAAAATGACAGAATGGGTCATTGATCCAATCTGTCATTTGTGAAATTCAGGCGAATTGACATTTTTGCCCATGAGCAAAAGTGAGTAGTTATTTTCTAAACAAATATAGGTAATGCTTACACTGTTCTAGTTATTACAAGATTCGTTGTAGTTACTAATAAGGTACCTGACATTAATAAGATACCTGACTATGAAAAAATGAGTAGTTATTCTCTACACAAATCTAGGTAATGCTTACATTGTTCTAGTGATTACAGAATTAGTTGTAGTTAATAACAAGACACCTGACTATGAAAAAGTGAGTAGTTATTCGCTACACGAATCTGGGTAACACCTAAACTCTTATAGTGATTCCTTGAATCATTGTAGTGAATGAATAAATGAGGGCAAAATTGTTAATTCGCCTGAATTTTACAAATGACATATTGGGTCAATGACAAAATTTAAGGACCTAATCTGGCATTTCCCATATTCCAAGGACCTTTTTTTGGATTTTCCTTTTATAGTGTGTTATTAAAAAAATAAGTTTTATTTTTTTTCAGATATTAATTATTTTCAATCAACGGTATCTGTTTATTGAAAGAATTGTAATAAAGCCCCGAAGAAAGAACATAATTACTATAAAATTCCAATGACATATTAAAAAATAATAACTATACACTTGAAATTGGGACTCTTTGATAGTTAATTTCTTTTTTTGTTAGAACTCTTTTACAATTCTTCCATGATTATTTATGTCTGGTGAATGGAACTGAACGCCTGGCATAAACGCTCAAGTGCTTTCCCATAAAAAGAATTAAAAAAATATAGGTTGACTGACCGAATGACCGGGTCTTCTATTCCCATGGCACCCCCCAATGATAAAGCTTGCGGCCGGAAAACTAAGGGTAGTTATGTAAATTCATCCCACACGCGTCAATTTAAAATCCCTCTCAGGAGCACTCTCACGAAGCACGCTTTGCCCGCAGGTTTTATTGACACAAGGCAAAAAGAGAAGAAAGAATGAATCTTCTCAACGTCCAAAAACTCAGAATTATCAAATTTCTTCTTTCAATTTTGTTTCTCTCTGTTTTTTTCTCAATCGTCCCTCTTCTGCTCCAGTCTCTGAAGCCATTCCTGGCGATGCTGGCGATAGACAAGACCTACATGTTCTTGCTCTGTAATGGGCTCGTCGTCTTCATTCTGAAGAACTCTGGTCTCGTTCATGTCAAGAAGGACCTAGAAATTCAGAATAACCCCAATCCTATTCAGAATAATCCTAATCCTCCAGAAGCAACAGAAGAAAAAGAAGATAATCGAGAACGTATGGTTTCTGGTGAAAAGAAAGAGGAGGAGGAAGAACAGGGGATATGTCATGCCATCGGCGCCATTGATGAAGAAGAAGAAGAAGAAGACACAGATGAGTTGAACCAGAAAGTCGAGGAATTTATCAGAAAGATGAAGGAAGCTATCTCTTTAGAACGAAGAGATTATTACAAATCTGGTGATTTTGATACATTACTCGCAGTTCAGTCTCAATTAAAGTGAATTTGTAGCTTTTAGTTAATAATAATTAAACATTTTAGCTTCAAGTTTAAGTGGGTGTGTGAGATTTAATATTGATCACTTGAAGTTGCACCATAATCCTAGTTTAGGTAAATGTTTGATATATGGGAACTTCCGTGCCCTGCTCTGTTTATCTGTATGACCTTGTAACAGTTAGTTAATACATAGTATGTCCGGTTCTTAATATAACAGCCAATTGATCAATTTAAGTAAATTAATAAAATTTGTTAAGTTAGCTATTTATAATAAATTGATATTATTTTTCCTAAAATACCTTTATCAATAATGTGCATTAATTAGAATTACTATTTGATGAAACACTTAACATTTGTAGCTACAGCAATGAATACTTTGAAAAAAAATAAATAAATATTAAAGACAAAATATATTAGAATATTATATTTATGATCAAATTAAAAATCAAACTAGCTTTTATATTAAGCACTGGAAGTAGTATAATCTAATTCTATTTTACATTAATAGTGTATTGTGATTATCGTGTCTTGACCAATTAACAAACGTCCTCCACTGAGTGTTGCACAACGTTTTTGCTCCCAACAGTTCTATTACTTATAGAACGTTGAATTTGTCTCAACATAACAATTGATGATGAATTTGTATCATGGTGTTTAAGTGAAGACTAGAAGTAGCATTGGCAAAAAAGAAAAAGGAAAAAAAAATCAAAGCAGCTTTGTTAAGAAATTTAGCATTAGCATATGACATTATAACACATTATCCTATAACATATTAAATATTGAGAGGAAAATTTTACGAAAAACGACAAAAAAAATTATAGCATTTCAAAATAACAAATAGGTGATTTTGACAAGGTTGACTTGTCAAAATCATTGTAAGAGTAGTTAAAACCATAACAAAAATAATTAGCATGACCTATTTGTTTTTTTAAAATTCAATATGTATATTTTTCTGTCACTTCCCCAAAATTCTACTTCTACAAATACATTAAACTTGTAGGAACCTAAATTAGACTAGGCTTGTGAATAACAGTGTTCTTTGGGTTACATGGATTGAGCTTAAATTAAGTTAAAAAAAAAAAAGAAGAAGCTTAAATTAAGTTAAATGGTGCTTATGTCAAATATTCCTCATTACAGAATACAAGAGTCATTTATTTTATTATTTCCTATTCCAAATCATAAGAATTAGTAGAGCATTTCTTTTAATTCTAAATATAAAATTTTAATTTGTTTTTTCTTAAAAATTATAATTATAATTGTTTATTTAATTTTTTTTATTAGTTGTACATATTAAGAGAGTTTTTTCCTAACGCAGGAAATCAATATATATATTTCAAATAATTAATGTATTGGATTAGAGATATTGATAGAATTAAAAAAAAAAAAAAAAAGCTTATAAGCGTTTTCAACTAGAGCCTATCCATTTGGGATAAGTTTCCGTTTCCAATCGGGCATACCAACTAGGCCATGCTTACTTTTCCAACGTATCCGCCGGGGACGACATGTCAAGGGAAACTTCGCGGATGTTGATTGGGAGACTTTTCAGTTCGGAGACTTTTCAGTATTGACTCCAATCAGAAAGATTGTTATTCATTTAATTTTATTTGTAGCTCATTTTCAATATATTTTATATAAACTAATAAAAATATTAAATTTCTCATTAACTCCGCTTTAAAATTCAACAACTTTTTAACTTTAGGGTTAAGGTGCATCCAACACCCCCAAGTATTTTGTCAGGTGCACCCAGTGGCCTAAAGTAATTTATAGTGCAATTTTGCCTTCAAAGTAATTAAAATGGTGCACCGGTATCCCATGCTAACAGATCTGTTACTTTGACCGTTAAATTAATGAGTCAGCACAAGTTTGACCAAAATAATATGACGTGGCATGTCTAATAAGCAGGTGATGTGGAATTTTTTTGGGGTTAAGGTGCATCCAACACCCTCAAGTATTTTTCCAGGTGCACCCAGTGCCCTAAAGTAATTTATGGTGCAATTTTGCCCTCAAAGTAATTAAAATGGTGCACCGATATCCTATGCTAACAGATCTGTTACTTTGACTGTGAAATTGATGAGTCAACACAAGTTTGACCAAAATAATTTGACCTGTCATGTCTAATAAGCAGGTGATGTGAAATTTTTTTCATCTGCCACTGCTTTGTTTTCTCTATTCAGTAAATGCTCTCTTCGGCTCTTGGAATTCTTTTCAGAGTAAGAAATTTTTTCAGAGATACTCCTCTGGTCCTATTTATAGGGTAGAGAGAGAAGATATTTTTTGGTCCTATTTATAAGGCACTGAGAGAAATTTTTTGTGTGAATGTACAAATTTACCTCTCATTTATTATTGTATTGACTTTGTTTATATGAGGTATAATATATATTAAATAGGGATAAAGTTGAAAAGTTATTAAAATTTAAATGAGAGTTAATGAAATTTAAGGTTTTCCTTGGTTTGTGTGAAACATGCTGGAAGTGCCTTATAAATAGAACCAAATGGGTAATATTCAGACAAAACAATGGAATTAACAAGAAAAGCCATGTCACCTGCTTATTAGACATGTCAGGTCAGATTATTTTGGTCAAACTTGTGCTGACTCATCAATTTCACAATCAAAGTAACAGATCTGTTAGCATAGGATACAGGTGCACCATTTTAATTACTTTGAGGGCAAAATTGCACCACAAATTACTTTAGGTCACTGGGTGCACCTGAAAAAATACTTTGGGGTGCTGGATGCACCTTAACCCCAAAAAAATTCCACATCACCTGCTTATTAGACATGCCACGTTAGATTATTTTGGTCAAACTTGTGTTGACTCATCAATTTAATAGTCAAAGTAACAGATATGTTAGCATGGGATACCGGTGCACCATTTTAATTACTTTGAGGGCAAAATTGCATCATAAATTACTTTAGGCCACTGGGTGCACCTGGCAAAATACTCGGGGGTGTTGGGTGCACCTTAACCCTTAACTTTATTCTTATTTAATATAACATTATACCTCATGAAACAAAGTAAACATAATAATAAATAAAAAGTGAAATTGCACATATATGTGAAAAATTTCTCTATACCTTATAAATAAGGCCAAAATATTTATTTTTTCTCTGTCATATAAATAGGACTAGACAAGTATATTCTTTAAATTTTGTTTGATATGTAATGAATTGAAATTTTACAAGGTACCTTGGCAAAAAAATTACAAGATAGTTAATGATAACAATGATAAGTATTAATTTGTTGGCAAAAAATATTAATTTATCTAACATAACTAATTTTGGAAGTGAATAAAGTACTTGAGACGGGATAATTAAGTATCAATGATCATCATATTCTTCTCATCACTTTTTTTTAAAAATAAATTGAAATAGAAATTAATTGAATTTTTGGGTTTAGTTCCTAGCTCGGCTCAATTTTGAAATTTTATTTTAGATTCTTATATAGTAAATTACATCTTTACTTTGTTAAAAAAAAAATAATAATCAAAACATTGATAACATGAAAAATGACTATATAATGCCTATTGAATTTAAAAATAAAAAAATTGATGATGTTGACTATTCATGTAAATGTATTGACAACTTTTATAAATGTTTTGACATGCTAATAAATCATATATTTATTATTTTAAAATTTAATTGGTATTTTTTTGGTCATTTTTCATGGACAAAATAAGTTTTGATAACAGTGGAAACAATAATATAAGCGATAAAATGAATTTTTGCTCTCAGGCATTGAGGCCTTCACAAAAAATTTCATTTTTGTAAAAAGTACTATTTTCAGGTTTTAATGGAAGAGTTAGTTTGAATAAGTTGAGTAGATTAAAAAATAAGTGGTGTCCACCTTAAAATAGCCTTACTGATGTGGACTTAGGACCTTGTCATAGAAAACTCAAGAATTACAAATCAAGTAACGAGTTACGAAAGTAATTAAGAAATAATAATAAAGAGAATAAGGATGAAAGAAATGACCAAAATACTAAGAACGCAGGTGAACACGCGTTCCAAAAAATATTGAGTATGTGAAACCCAACACCAAAAAAAAAACAACGGTTCAAAAAGTCCAAAGGTGTGTTTGGATGAAACCAAACCGTGGTTTGGAAAAGTGATTCTAGAGAATAGATTCTGAGGAAAATAGATTTTGTGAAGAATATATTTTGTAAAAAAGTGATTCTGAGAAGTGAGAGTGTTTGGATAATTGTTATCAGAAGCACTTTTTATATATACAAATTACTAAAAAAAAGACATAAGTTAATATGATAATTACAGAAAAATAGATTTTATGATATATTTTAATTTGAAGGAATAAAATTGTTAATAATATGTTTTTTACCAACATGATTAATAATACATAAGATAATATAATTAATAAATAATTAATGTGTATATATATTTATAAATATAAGATTAAATATATTTATAAAAAAATATGTTTATAAAAAAAATAACAAGATACATATCATATAGGCCCTCACACTCTCCCTTTTTTCTCCAAAAGCAAAAAAATTTTGCTTTTTCCAAAACCATGGTTTTGGTTTTTGGAGGGGGTGTTTGGGTGATTTATTCCCCAAACCATGGTTTGGGGTGTCACCCAAACACACCCCAAGTATAAATAATACAAGAGTTGGTCAACCTTCTATGTCAAGTAATATCCTTACAAGAAAGGCACAATGCTTGACTTTAAATAGAAGTAATGACTCAACACATGGCAAAAAACTCTAAAAGCCTAAGGGCCCGTTTGGTTCAACCCCATTGCAGACATGCAATGGTAATCACAATTGCATTACCATAAGTAGGTTGTTTGGTTGCTCTTTTGTCAGGTAATGGAGTTTACAATGACAATGATGATTACCAAAAATTTGGTATGAATGAGCATTACCATCCATGACAATATTTTAAATGTCTTTTTTACCCTAATATCTAAAATGAAAAGACACAAAATAGCTTAGATCAAATCCTTCCCTCCTCTTTCCTTCCGCTTCTTCATCTCTGCCTCCACCCTCCCTCCTTCCCTACCATGCTGGTGTCCACATCGACATCACGCCCCTCCTCCTGCCCCAGGTTCGAAGCCATGAAGGTACCCCTTGCTAGCGTCACTCATATTCATCGTCGCTCTCCCCCTCTTCCGATGTTAGCAGAGCTACCGTCTTTGATGTCGGCCTCTTTGAAAATACATGTGTCGGCCTCTTCAGATTCGAGTACCACCAA